CATTGATGTGAAAGAAAATAACCCTAAGAATTTGTAGGATCAAGTTCAGAGAAACAGACTGTAAATATAAGTTACAGTAAAGTGCTCTAACAACTAGTTGATCAGTTTTGACTGGACAAATATGGATCATGGACATTAAAAAATTGCCTTTAGGAACCAGTAAACATATGTGTGGTCCTTGTATGGGATATATATAGATATTTTCAGCATTTGGCGAATATTACACAGTGAGTTGGGACTATGAATATGCCAATTTGAAGAGGTGAGATTTTGGATATATAGTTATGTGCCAACTAGATGAATTCTATAGACCAGAAATCTCCTTTGAAAATAAACAACATTTATAAACATGTTCATGTCTGGTCTGAGATGAATAAAGAGTTTTAATTTATAGACTGACCATGATCGTAAAATTTGTCCAAAAGGTCAAACAGCTTCACTGGTCATGTCCACAAACTTAATGAGGTTCTTTTAAACCCCATGGATGCACAGTGTAAAAAAACGCCAGAAGAAAATGAAAAAGATAATACCTGAAGGCTAGAAATCATGCAACGGATGATGTTCAGCAAATTTTGTGACCTCCTACAGTAGAGAGCTCTATCAGATTAGCAACCCAAAACTAAATATTGTGTTACTCTTGGAGTGTAAAAGCCTAGATTGGAATGCCATCTATTATTGACCTTTTCGAGGACTAATGTCTGCCATTGAAGGGTCACTATCATGTGACACATATCAAACTTGTTATGAGGAGATTGAACAACACAGATAAATGAATATTTGTTTTGAAGGAAATCAGGAATTTATACATCCACCATTATGTAATGTGAATAAAGTAGGATTGGGTAATGAAGAATATCAGTGTGTGTTCCAATGGTTAGTTTAAAGACTCACCATGATTCTGTCTCAAGCAAATTACTGACCGGAATATTGCATTCAATATGCTGCTGTCAATTCCTGGTAAGTGTTTAAAACAACATTTTATCGTTTCTTCATCAATTGTTGTTTGGTTGGATACTGGGTCTCTGATTTGAATCAGAAACTGTCAGACTGGAAAATGTTCTCTGGATTTTAATTTTCGCCTTTTTCGCCCTCCGTGATAGGTAATTTACCATTACAGCAAACTTTTGTAAACAGTATATTATATATAGTAATTAAGTGTGAATTAAGGGCCAATTTCATATTGGGCAGAAATGGATTTTACTGTCACAGTGCGAAAATTTGACTGGTCGGAAATCTCCCAGTATTTAGTTCAATTCTATGGGAGACCTAAGGTGGGCTCCCATCTGAATTCCTGATTAGGTGACCCAACATCATATGTGCATCATGATCCAATCAAAATGTGTAATCAAATTTTCAACAATGGTATTCAGGATTTTTCCTAATAAGACACCAGGACAACTGTGGTAAATCTATTATTTGTGGCGGCCCCTTCATATAGCTAGCTATATAAATGAAACAGAAAAGCGAAATGGTGGTAATCTCAGATCACTCTGTAATGTACGTAATGACTATTGGACTAACGCAAGACACAAGATGTCACATATACTTTGATTTGACCATATGTCAGACGTCACAGTGCTTTGGTCAGTTTACCTATAATATCATAATGAGTATGTACTCCACACTCAGGAAAGAGTTAAGACAGATAACTCGTGTGAAATCATGGACTTAAGTCTGTCACAGGTATGAACAATTTCTATATTGTGTTCAAATTACGAGACAAACCAAAGAGCTTTAACTGCAACCCATCGATGCCACTTTGCACTTACACAACCTCTCGTTGTCGTCTGCTGCTAAATTTGTTCATTAGTAATTACATTTGATGTAAGGTACGTGATGGTTGTAAAGATCAGTGCGATCCGACACGCCCACACTGTTACGCCCACAACCTGACACGCCCACACACCCTCAGCTGTCCCAGCGGACATTCAATTTAACATCCCAGAACAACGCGTGATTCCTTCTGACATTTAACATCCAGGTGATTTACATGCTTGAACTTTTACCAATAAATGTGAAATTGAAATCATGACTGCTAGATTTGGTTCACATTACAGATTTAAGTGGGAGAGTATGACGTTTAATTACTATGACTTCGTACTGAACAGTCCAACGCATGTCAACATTAACACACTCAATGTTGTGCTTAAGTTTAAAATAGCTTTTACCAAATTTTTATAGATATTTCATAATACCATACTTAAATCAAAATTATGTGAGTTTAAACTCAAACTGATCATTATATTTAAAGGAAATAAGATTTTAATAAAATGTTGTTGAACATATTGCTCTTTTATCTAGGCCTAACTATCAGTATTTTCATAAACATATTTATAATTACCGTATTTAATTTGATAAGCAACCTAGATGGGTATTTAAGATCTGGAATTTTCGAATATTTTACTGGTCACAGAGTCTTCCCAAATTCTCCAAACAACATAGCAATAGTAGACACAAAATTGGCTATATAGAAATTGCTGCATCAATATATATGTCTGTGTTTCAGATATGTTAACCATTATGAGATGAGATCAAGTTCTACACCTGAATAGATTTCGGTGGTCGTATAGGTCAAGGTACAAGGGTCAAATGTCATGGGGTGGGGGGGCCGGGAACAATGGAGAAAATATCTATTGGAGCTCCGGTCTCCTTTGTTTCTATTGGGAATGGGTTTGTTAAGCAGATGGTAACTAGAGGTCATCCAATCATATTTATGGTGTTGTGTTCTGTCAGATTACATTGTCCTATTTCTGGCCCGACCAGTCAACAGTTGCATTTGACATGCTGCTCACAGCATAGCCTTTGTCAATCTTTCTCCAACAGGAAGTATTGACAAGCATTTCCCTATTATAGTATTCCCTCTGACAAAACCACCTTCCATATATATAAAAAGGTGTTTGTGATAGCACACAGTAGTGTCACAAGATGTCACAGCTGTAACACTTCACAAACACTCTTAGTACAGTCCAGCTTGTGTTGAACAGTCACAATCTCCCCACAAACACTCATAATACAGTCCAACTTATGTCGAACAGTCACAATTTCCCCACAAACACTCTTAATACATTCCAGCTTGTGTTGAACAGTCATGATCTCCCCCCAAACACTCTTTAATACAGTCCAACTTGTGTTGAACAGTCACAATCCCCCCACAACACTCTTAATACAGTCCAGCTTGTGTTGAACAGTCACAATCTCCCCACAAACACTCTTAATACAGTCCAACTTATGTCGAACAGTCACAATCTCCCCACAAACACTCTTAATACAGTCCAACTTGTGTTGAACAGTCACGATCCCCCCACAAACACTCTTAAAACAGTCCAGCTTGTGTTGAACAGTCACAATCTCCCCACAAACACTCTTAATACAGTCCAGCTTGTGTTGAACAGGCACAATCTCCCCACAAACACTCTTAATACAGTCCAGCTTGTGTTGAACAGTCATGATCTCCCCACAAACACTCTTTAATACAGTCCAACTTGTGTTGAACAGTCACAATCTCCCCTCAACACTCTTAAAACAGTCCAACTTGTGTTGAACAGTCACAATCCCCCCACAAACACTCTTAATACAGTCCAGCTTGTGTTGAACAGTCACGATCTCCCCAGAAACACTCTAAATACAGTCCAACTTGTGTTGAACAGTCACAATCTCCCCACAAACACTCTAAATACAGTCCAACTTGTGTTGAACAGTCACGATCCCCCCACAAACACTCTTTAATACAGTCCAACTTGTGTTGAACAGTCACAATCTCCCCACAAACACTCTTAATACAGTCCAACTTGTGTTGAACAGTCACAATCTCCCCACAAACACTCTAAATACAGTCCAACTTGTGTTAAACAGTCACCTTCGGGGGATTGTGATGTTGACTGCTTAAGATAGGTAGCTGCTTAATCAAGGTTTGAGGGGAGAAAAAGTGACCACTAACAACAGGCCTAGTGACCTTTTATAACAGGTGGCCGCTAAGACAGACTCTACCTAATTGTTTTAAACTAATTTATTTGGAGAATCTGAAATCACAGAAAAAATGTGCGTGCATAAATACTAGTAAGATATTTTAAACACGACCAGTGTCTTCATGAATTATGGCAAAGATTGGTCACAAAATGTGACTAAAAGTCAAACAATTGTGCTTTAATACTCCTCTACCATCGTTCTCAGTAAAAGTCCTACAATAAACTCATTCACCCCTACATATTTAAACTGGACTTGCCCCAGTCTTTGATTTGGTTAAGTTCAAATGTGACTTTAGAGATGAAAAGGTTAATGGATTAAACATCTTGAAAAGGCGCAACAGGAAAAAGAAGGAAGAAAGGGGGAAGACTTACAAGAGAATAGTTTTTGCTGCTAATAAGAGGATTTGATTTTATTGTTTAGATACTGCCATATAATGTTGGAAAAATGCAGTTTAACAGATTGATGCTACACTTTGATGTACTTTATAATGACAAGATTTCAGGATGATAAGCTTTCTTTATTTTTCACAACCTCTAGTTATTTCACATACACACACATTACACTAAATCTAACAAGAGCGATTGTTGTTTTTACCGATAACATGTTACAAGGGCTACCCCAAAAATATCCATTTTTTCTCAGCAATTATTTTGAACCCTGAACAGAGGTCAGGGTCAAACTGCCTCAGAAGGTGATATAACTAATGCTTGATAATGTGGCATCATACCTTTGATTTGTTTTTAGGATTCACACCATCTTTCATACTCTCATTGTGTAAATTTAAATTGTGTCAGTTACTAACTAAGTCTCTGTTGCTAATTTATAAAAGATTATTTTACAGATGTTTTAATAGAGTGGAACTCCCCTGGGTGCCACGTAGTATTAGGTAGCATACCTCCTTAACTCTTTAACCCCTGAAATTTCATAATGACCTTTTTTTAATTGGAAGAGTTCAAATGTGTCTTCAGGGGTGAATGAGTCAAGTCATGTCTGTTACAATGTCTGACCTGCACACTATCATTTACTCTTTACAGAAAAGGAAGATGGCCTTCTGGGTAGCAAGTCCATAAACAACCGATCTGGAGGTGGAAACAAAGGTCAAAGTTCAAAGGTCACCAAGAACTCTGGGGTATGTTACTTTTACAGTGTTAGACTTTATATAAACTGTAGAACGTCGGGCGGGGATTTCCACTAATGCATGTTATAGGTATCTGCATGATAAATGGCACTTTTCACTTCTATTTAATCAAGATATCCTCTTATCTTTTGTCCATTTTATTAATCTATGTATGTAAAGGTACGATGGAATTCCCTAGTGTTAAATTGTTTCTAGTGTGACAAGGATCCTTACACTGGTATAGATCATTATCATTAATCACTCATTATATATTCTCTATTTAAAACAAACATTTTAGGTACCAGTATTTTCCAGGCACAGTGGGGTTTTGGAAAATGTTTGATTATGCAGTTTTCCAGGTAAAACAGTGTTAAGTTAAGACAATAGATCAGATTGGGGTTTTTTTCTGTTCGTATATTGTTTTTTCGCCAAAATTATGGAAATGTCTGATTTGTTAGAATCAGGTGTCGAGTTACAGACAGGAATATTTTATTTTAGAATTACCAAACATTCAATACAAGATAAGCTCTATCTATTTTCTACTCATTGAAGAATTTTCCAAATTTCTATTTCATTTTTGCTAATACTTCCACTTGTAGTAATAGAGAATCGTTTTCCTTGTAAAAATGTACTTTCTCTATTTCATCTTTTTTTATATTCTTTAAACTTTAGAACTAAAACAATGTTTATTTTGTGTGATTTTCTTTCAAGATATTTCCTCTTAGAAGATAGAAATTTTATTGTTTAGATATAAACATTAAGGTGATGATTTCTTCTTCTATGAGTTGATCATATTGTTGTAAAAGTAACATATTGCAAATAACAGGTAAAAATTCATATTAATTTGTTTGAAGTGGAAAAAAGTAAATTATGAAGACAGTTTAACTTTTATGATGATTACAAGCAACAAATTAACTCCTTCACCCCTGGATTTTTTATAATGAACCATTCAAGCCTTTGATTTGGAAGAGTTCAAATGTGTCTTCAGGGGTGAGTGAGTTAAGTTAAATGTCATCAGTAGAGGTTGTCTACCTGTCATACTTGACATTCAGTTTTCACAAGGTCAGATTATTGTTTATTGTATTGCATGGTATGTATTGTAATAGTAAAACAGATTTTTGTCACTCTACCTTCGTAATGATTTATAATCCAGACAGGCTAAGGACTGTTTTTTTTTAAAGGTCATAAGAAATTCAACACAAATAAAGAATATTGTACACCAGTCGCTCATAATAAATGTCGGGGAAAATATTCAATAGTTAAATCAAAAATATTTGCATTCAGTACATTTAAAAACAGATTTGATATGTTTAAAACTGTCTTTTTTTAAACAGTACATCGCTGTTTGAGGTTGAACGTAGGGAGTTTTTTTGGCACGCACACATGGTTCGTGCTTATTCTTGTCAGTCAGAGGGAAACGCTGCCATTTTTCTATTATCATCTTTTGTTTTGGAAAAGAATTTGTTTTTAAAAAGCACTGATGAACCATGTTCTCTTGTCTTTCTGACACAAACGGCCATATTCCCAGATTTCTTCCATTTTAATAAATCTCTGTTCAAATTTTTGCCGTTTCATTTTCTATTACCTAGATATCAGACAGTTCCAACCATTCTTAATTCTCTAAATTTTCAACTGGTACAATAGGGGTAGTATATATAATATATATCATCAGATTATACACTTGGCCTACTTGATTTGGAATATTTATAATAATAATAAATGAAGTTGATACCATGCTACACTTACTAAATCACACGCTAATATTGTGTTGTAACAATTAAACAAGCCGTTCCACCATTTTTGCTCTTTTTCCGATGTTGCGCATAATTAACAGAATACTAGGTGAAATATCCCATGCATTGCCAATACTAACTTTGAGATAGCAAATCCTTGTAAAGCGATATTGTTTGTATGAAAAACTTGATTGTGTTAAAAGATTTAACATAGGTTTTACATAAAAAAACCTCTTAAGCAATGTAAGGGGTTCAATTAAAACTGATGGTAACTCTGAAAACCTGCTACATGCCCCAAGCTAAGACTGCAGGCTTTTGATAGTAAACCATAGTTGCCAACCTTTTGAAATTTCCATGGGGGAGGTTTTCAAACTTACAAATATAAATAACATATGTGTTTAAACTTTCTAGAGACACTCTTTAAAATGGCATATTTTGAGTTTTTGTTTCTAATGAAATCATAAGACCTTGGAATATGGCGATATTTTAGCAAATTCACTATTTGGAAATACCAAATTTTAAGGGTAAAAAATTGGTAGTCTCCTGCTAAATATTATCTTTATGCAGATATAGGATTACTGTGAGTTGTCCTCAAATTGTATTCATCCCATTACTGTCATTTCCTGATACATACTGTAATAAATCCAGGCAATATTTTATTGATTCGTTCCTCTGGTTGGCCTGGTATCGGGGAGGTCTAAGACAATCAGTTGCGACCCTGCGGCCATTTGTAGACCTTAATCAGGATTGAGTGCACCAACTATAACCGAGACAAGCTACGTGTTCTACTAACAAATGTGTGTCGCCTAAGTCATTATTAATCAAATGCATTTTCTGTCATGTGACATTGTTTGTTGCCTTGGTTACTATGCAGATGAACCGACGAGAGTCCTTTTTTGGGCGTGCTCCCGCCATAACACTTGAACCGCCCCCGGTTAAACAAAGGAGGAATTCTCTGTCATTTCCATTTTTCGCCCACCCAACTGTCAAGAACTCGGGTGATGGCCCTGGGAAAGTGATGGAAGAAGTAAGTTCGGCCTAACAGTACCAGACTGTGGCCATAGCAACCACTGCATCCTTAACCTTCAACATGACCTTGACATTTTACATTGTGAAAGTTCAAGGTCATGTACTGTAGATAGTTGCCTGAGTGTCGCCAACTTTCGTGGCTAGATCTCTTCTAGTTCATTTTCTGCTGTTCTGCCATATTCTTCCAATCACAAATTTATCATTATGACTTTTCAGAAACTTTCATCCAAGATATCAGGAAATTTTTGAGACATATCAGAAGTCTTATTTTGAGCAACAATCATTTGTTTTGTAAAGTTTTGACATTTTTGACATTTTTCTTTTAAAATTAATTCTGCTGACATTCAATGCACATCATTAAATCACTTTTAGATGACTAAACAATTCACTGTTTATCTACTGTTTATATAAATGACCTTCCAGAATGATGTGCCTGAAAATTTCAGGTCACAATATTTCACAAGTATACGCACAATCTTCATTGGTGACACTGGAATTTAAATTTAATGATTTAAAATGTTCAATTCCATGTAACTCAATTTGTTTGGAACAAAACAAAAATCTTGAAAAAAAACATTTTAGACAGATTTTGACAATTATTATGATGGTACTGTTATTGCCTCGAAATGCATTTGTAGGTTAAATATATACATAGGGCCGTATGGAATTAGGATTTAAATCCAATGATAAGGGCCGTATGGAATTAGGATTTAACTCCAATGATATTTACAGTATATTCACTTTTCACAGAAAACCTCCAAAACATCACCTTTATAATGATGCATTAACTTCACTTGTAAATATATTATCTAATTTTGCTTATCTTCTATAGTGCCATTCTTTTTCTTGTAACTATTTCCCCTTTAAATGTCTGCAACAAAAATTTCATATATTGCATTGTATCATACCCTGTGTTCGCTCCCAATGTAGCTATTACCTCCCTTGCGTGAAGTTATTATCTCCCCTTTGTAGTAATTAACTCCCTTGTATATAGTTGTTATATCTCTTGTATTCTACTCTGCTTATCCCTTTGACATGTTTACCTGATGCAGTGGTTGCCTACATTGTCCCATGCTTGTCAGCATGAGCATACACCAGTCTGCACGAGAGAGAAAAATCAAGTATATCGCCACGCTTATGTTTGCTTACGTTGTATATGTAAATAGGTGTGTACCATCTATATATATATATATGTATCTGCTTTGTTATATAGCCTGTGTATGAACTCACATTGTATATTGTCCTTGTGTTGCAAGCTTTGGTTACATATATCAACATTAATATAAGATATTCTATCAAGAATGTATTGTAATTAATGTTCAACCCCATCTTGACTTTCGTAAAACAATTTACATGAAGATGGCAACCTAATGGGTCTCTTTAACTGAAGTCACAGCCTTTTGATTTTATGCCCAAATAAGGTTTCTTTCAATGCAGGGCTAGAAACTTATTAAAAAAAATCCAGTTATTTGGGTTATTAAGTTTCTGATTTTTCTGACCCAATATAATTCAACATGATAAGTAATATGAATTTTTAGCTAGTCAATTTGGCTAGCAGTTTTAGTACCACTATTCCAGCTGGAGATTTCACTAGTCTCAGACTATCAGGCTACCCTTATTGTCTAGCCCTCAGATATCATATGGGGTTTTTTTCCTTACAAAACCTAAAACAAAAAGAACGAATATCTATTACACAGTATCATTTCATCTGGTTACAATCGAAAGGCTATACTTTTGGGAGGTATACAAGAATTGATAGTAATAAGCTGACTGTAAATCACCTCTTTTTGTGGATATTTATTTTGTGTGATTGTTCCCTCAGTGACCATGATGAAGATTTCAATTTGTAAAAAGGCAAAAACCTCATTGTGTTTTTTGTTTTATTGTGTCAGGGAAAACATTCATTTAAATAACTTTGAATATGGGATTCTATCTTCTTTGAAATAAACGCGAAAGTAGATGCCATCTTGCCAAAAAATAGTGATGTACAAATGTTAATGAAAAAATAGGGGAGATAACTCTTAGCACAGAGGTACTACATTTTCAAATCCTGTCTTCATCAACCTGCCATATTTATGATTCAATGCAAATCAGTTCACAATATAAGGTCTTTTATTAAATTGCTTTATCTCATTCACTTCTGAAATTTCATAATAAACTATTCCAACCTTGGAAATGTGTCTTCAGGGGTGAATGAGTTAACAATCACTTATAAGATCTTGTATAATTGACATGCAAAATTCAGTTTCAAAGGTGAAAGATATCTCTGATTTAGCTTGAAAAAGGAAGTCACAATTCTGCTGACTTGTTGTACCATTGTATTGCTTTGAGTGAAAAAAAATATTGTCTGCTATTTCAAAGAAGTTGTTAAAAAAGGAAAATGAGCCTCAATCTTTAAATGAAACCAAAGAAAAGGATATGACTACGTATGAACTAAAGAAAACATGTAATCTAGACTTGAAATAGTATATGATTTACGTTGGACATTGCATAATATGTACGAAACAATTTGTAGAGCTCATTTGCGGATCACAAAAGACTTGTCTCATGTAAATTGATCTTGCTAGGCCTACAGATTACACGTTACGTAAGGTATAAGTACTAGTAATAGCAAATATGTTTATGGTTGAATCGCCTGACACAGACATGGCTTTGTGTAGGTGTAATAATCCTCTAGGTCACGTACTTGGTAAGATATTTTTTCAGTTCTTTTTTGGCATCAAATGAAAGAAAAGAAAAAAACATGTGTTTTAAGTCTGCCGTATATAAATTAGGTGTATTTGGAACTTGATTGAGCTTCAAGAATTGTTTAGTCTGTACTTTATGAAGAACCACATATTATAGCAAATTAAATTTTATAATTTTACCTGCAGAATATTTTGGCATCAGACCAAATTCGTGTTTTAATCTGTGATTAATTGAGTTTCAAGAAATTTGTGTCTGTATTTTACGGAGACCACAAATTATAGCAAATCAAATTTGCAGTATTTTAGGCAATCTTGATAATGAAACAGATCTGTGAGGGCCACACCAAGTTGTTATCCATCTGTGTACTTTCTCTGCATGATTGCTGCGTTACTATAGCACCGCTTTATGTTAATTCATGTCTGCATGTACTGCTTTATAGATGTACATATTCATGTGTTATTTGTTTTGTGAATTGCAGCTTGTTCATGAAGTCTTTTTCTCCACTTTAATCAGTGTACGGTATAAGAAATATGTTATTCAATAAATGATATCTCAGACAAGTTCTAATTATAGAGTTTATATTATTTTATCATCTTCAAAATAATAAATAATGTTCAAGATCTATAACAGACGGATGTAACATTATTTTTTGAAAGAGATAAGAAAAAAGAACTTCGCCCCTCCATGTCTAAGCTAGCCAGTCTTGGATTTGGTAAGGTGTACATATTTACTCCTTCGCCCCTCCATGTCTAAGCTAGCCAGTCTTGGATTTGGTAAGGTGTACATATTTACTCCTTTGCCCCTTCATGTTTAAGCTAGCCAGACTTGGATTTGGTAAGGTGTACATATTTACTCCTTTGCCCCTTCATGTTTAAGCTAGCCAGACTTGGATTTGGTAAGGTGTACATATTTACTCCTTTGCCCCTTCATGTTTAAGCTAGCCAGACTTGGATTTGGTAAGGTGTACATATTTACTCCTTTGCCCCTTCATGTTTAAGCTAGCCAGACTTGGATTTGGTAAGGTGTACATATTTACTCCTTTGCCCCTTCATGTTTAAGCTAGCCAGACTTGGATTTGGTAAGGTGTACATATTTACTCCTTTGCCCCTTCATGTTTAAGCTAGCCAGACTTGGATTTGGTAAGGTGTACATATTTACTCCTTTGCCCCTTCATGTTTAAGCTAGCCAGACTTGGATTTGGTAAGGTGTACATATTTACTCCTTTGCCCCTTCATGTTTAAGCTAGCCAGACTTGGATTTGGTAAGGTGTACATATTTACTCCTTTGCCCCTTCATGTTTAAGCTAGCCAGACTTGGATTTGGTAAGGTGTACATATTTACTCCTTTGCCCCTTCATGTTTAAGCTAGCCAGACTTGGATTTGGTAAGGTGTACATATTTACTCCTTTGCCCCTTCATGTTTAAGCTAGCCAGACTTGGATTTGGTAAGGTGTACATATTTACTCCTTTGCCCCTTCATGTTTAAGCTAGCCAGACTTGGATTTGGTAAGGTGTACATATTTACTCCTTTGCCCCTTCATGTTTAAGCTAGCCAGACTTGGATTTGGTAAGGTGTACATATTTACTCCTTTGCCCCTTCATGTTTAAGCTAGCCAGACTTGGATTTGGTAAGGTGTACATATTTACTCCTTTGCCCCTTCATGTTTAAGCTAGCCAGACTTGGATTTGGTAAGGTGTACATATTTACTCCTTTGCCCCTTCATGTTTAAGCTAGCCAGACTTGGATTTGGTAAGGTGTACATATTTACTCCTTTGCCCCTTCATGTTTAAGCTAGCCAGACTTGGATTTGGTAAGGTGTACATATTTACTCCTTTGCCCCTTCATGTTTAAGCTAGCCAGACTTGGATTTGGTAAGGTGTACATATTTACTCCTTTGCCCCTTCATGTTTAAGCTAGCCAGACTTGGATTTGGTAAGGTGTACATATTTACTCCTTTGCCCCTTCATGTTTAAGCTAGCCAGACTTGGATTTGGTAAGGTGTACATATTTACTCCTTTGCCCCTTCATGTTTAAGCTAGCCAGACTTGGATTTGGTAAGGTGTACATATTTACTCCTTTGCCCCTTCATGTTTAAGCTAGCCAGACTTGGATTTGGTAAGGTGTACATATTTACTCCTTTGCCCCTTCATGTTTAAGCTAGCCAGACTTGGATTTGGTAAGGTGTACATATTTACTCCTTTGCCCCTTCATGTTTAAGCTAGCCAGACTTGGATTTGGTAAGGTGTACATATTTACTCCTTTGCCCCTTCATGTTTAAGCTAGCCAGACTTGGATTTGGTAAGGTGTACATATTTACTCCTTTGCCCCTTCATGTTTAAGCTAGCCAGACTTGGATTTGGTAAGGTGTACATATTTACTCCTTTGCCCCTTCATGTTTAAGCTAGCCAGACTTGGATTTGGTAAGGTGTACATATTTCCTCCTTCGCCCCTTCATGTTTAAGCTAGCCAGATTTGGATTTGGTAAGGTGTACATATTTACTCCTTTGCCCCTTCATGTTTAAGCTAGCCAGACTTGGATTTGGTAAGGTGTACATATTTACTCCTTCGCCCCTCCATGTCTAAGCTAGCCAGTCTTGGATTTGGTAAGGTGTACATATTTACTCCTTCGCCCCTCCATGTTTAAGCTATAGCCAGTCTTGGATTTGGTAAGGTTCAAATGTGACTTTAGGGGTGAATGAGTTATCTTGCGTATAACAGCTTCCTAACTGTACACATAGTGATAGTCTTGTAATGACACAAGAGTTGTCTCCCTTTAGAGAAAATTGTAATGAATTATTTAATAAGAGCTCTACTTTCAAGGGTAATGTCTTAGTCTTGTAATGACACAAGATTTGTCTCCCTTTAGAGAAAAGTGTAATAGAGCTCTACTTTCAAGGGTAATGTCTTGACCTCAGTTTTGATTCCTAGGGAAAACAAGTACTTTGCAAGATGAAATAAACAAAATATAATCAATCATCGTGTTCTGAGTGTAAAACAGTAAACAGAAAGATCAAAGTTTTAACCATCATGAACATGAGATATTTTGTCATCTAATGATTATTGATCACTAGGTTTTCAAATGAAATTGATGTGTCTTAATTAATTATCAAAGGGAAATATTAAACATGACTAATACTTAAGTTTGCTGCATTGCTTATCAAAGAAAACATTGATGTTTAACTTTCAAAAAAATAAAAAATATTGTTGCAAGAAATTTTAGTAATACTTTTAGTAGCTTTTGTACATCATGAATCAATAATGATTTATTTTGGCATGTTGAGAAAATAATTTTATTTATTATTTTAAATTATTTGGTTGCTGAATTAAAGATTAAGCTTTATACAAAAATTACCTTACTTTGTATTTTGATCGATTAACTACAATCTATCATGTACAACTCTTTTTCTCACAAAGAAGTCAGTGACGTACCTTGTAGTGACTGCTGACAATGATATCAGTGCTGTGTGAGGACTATTTAACCAGCTTGAGGAGTCTCTCATTATACGGTATTTTGTCTGGAGTGAAGAATCATACTAATAAAACAGTATTCTGTACATACAGATGGGGAGCCTGAGGGGACGAACCAGGGTTATGAACCTCTCCATTGATGACACTAGCCTACCTATCCACCCGGGGCTGTCCGCCTCCATCTCCCCCCAGGGCACCATCGGCTACAGTGAGGGCAAGAAGGTCAAGGAGCGATCAAAACTCACCAGCCTCCTCAGCCCCATGTCTAAGGTAATGGATACAACTTCTCAGTATTTCAGCGGAATTCTGAGCATCATGATATATATATATATATATATCTGTATTTCTCCTGTGATAAACCTGTGACAGGGGGAACGCCTAGTTCTCTAACTTAACGGCAACATATATGGATGGGCCTATTACCAGCCATGGGTTTATTGCAGGATGAATACAGTTAAATGTGAATGCAGCTTTCTTAGCACTATTCCAATGATCGGGAAGACAATTTACATATTTTGCACCACACTTGATTACAGGAATGGTAAATATATTCCTACAGATTCTTTTAAGGAGCTTTAGGTTGTGATGTTGTCTCACAAAGTACCATTGCTAGTATAGGAGTTACTCCCCCAGATCTGGAAATGTATTCTGGTAGACTTATATATGTTTTGCCTTTATTTCTATAAACTGATCACACAGGAGGAGAAAATGTAAGTGCATGGGAGTTACTCCCCCTTTATCTGCAAAAGATAGGTGCTTGCAAATATTTCCTCAGATTTTATCACAAGTACGATTGTTAGTTTAAAGGATTACTCCCCTTAGATGCTTAGGTAGACTAAAAAATATTTTTCATTGTTTTCTGAATATTATATACTTGTTCTATCAAATGTTGCCAGAATGGAATGACCTAAAGAAAAAATATCAGTGATACAAAATAAATGGCCAGACTACATTCCGATACAAAGAAGAATTTCATCATATGTCTCTAGACTCTCAGACGGGATTACTGACTCAAGGCTGAGCTTATGCTGGCAAATTTCCACCAGGTTGATAAATTGAGACTGATGTTACCTATGTCAAGAAAAGTGGTTAACATAACCTTCATATGTCTTGTTTTCATTGTGACTTGGAATAAAACTTTCCTTTGGAGCTAGTAATATAAATGCTAAACTCTCATACATTCAACTGCAATAACTTGTGGGTGGAAAGGGGGCAGGGCTTCACTGTTATATCTGTCAGGAAGAAGTCTGGTGAAATATGGAGCACCAACAGAACCATAACAGGTACTAAGGTTGTCAAATTATAAGTGGAAAGATTTCCAATGGGACACATCCGCGATACTCCAGGGGTTATTATCAATTCCTCTATCTGCACCCCTGGAATATGTCTCAGCAAAAATATGAGGCTCAGTGTGTACCATCTTGTGGATGAGCCAGAAAGATTAGTTTGATCATAGCGATTGGTCAGATATTTTTACCTAAGACCAATAAAATTGCTAGCCGTGTGCCTTCCATTTTGCTGTGACATATTCCATGGGTGCAGAGAGCGAAAGTGACCTCTGGAATATTGAGGAGATACCTAGATACCTAGATTCTAGATCAAAAGTTGGTACAAATTTCTGTATTCGTCTAGATCAGATTCTATTTAGGCACTACACTGGTTTAGTGTGGTTGGGTAACTTTTTTAGTTACTATAAGGGAAAATGAGATCTATTGTCCACTAGGGAAGGTTAAGTGAAGTTTGTATTCGTACTCTGTCATGAAGGCAATTTATCATTACAACAAATAGAAGTAAAAAGCACAATAAACTTAGAAATAAAATTTGAAGGGCAAATTAGCACAAAGCAAAAATCGATTTTATGGGTGAAAGGCGAAAGTCTGACTTTGCTTAAATTCCCCGGTATACAGTTTATTATAGTCACAGGCATCCATCATTGAATTTATTAATGAAATACCAAGTATTAACCCTAAAGATTTAACACTCTTGTTGGCCTGGGTCTTAATGTGGGAGAAAACTGGAGTAACCAGAGAAAACCCATGTTGTTGAGCAGGTGACCCCCCTCCCCCCCNCTTTGTCTAAAAGAGTTATCCACTTTGCCACCTGGCCACCTAACACGTTATAGAGGGGATAGGGGAAATAACTCTATCCTGTGATACAGGTCCACATCAAGGTAGCATCGAATACAGCATAGAAGGGTTAGGGGAAGTAACTCTTGCCTTCAGTGCAAGATCACATTGAGAGAACATCTTACACAGTAAAGAGGGGATAGGGGAATAAACTGCAGGTTTTGATTGATTGTATAAGATAATGTTGAGGCAATATCTAACACAGACTAGATGCCACAGGGGAAGTAACTCTGAATTATGGTCCCAGATATGGATTGTAGTTAGGTTACATCTACACAGAAAAGTCGGGGATAGATAACAGGGGAGGTAGCTGTTACTTGTCACAGGTGGTATGGGATCACAATGACAACACCTATACAGAAAAGAGAGGAAAGATTGTCAGGGGAAGTAACTCTAACCTGTAATAGCATCTGTGATATTACTACATCACTTGGGTAGATTACAAGGGCAGTAACTCTGATATGTAATCATAAGTACTTTGGATCAATGTTGAGATAACAATTCAACATTCCCAGTAGAAGGTATTGATCCACGACAGATTGAAAGGGGAGACAACTCTTCTCTGTGATCGCGGCTGGTGTGGGATCACGCTGAAGTAATGCCATACTTTATGTCATTGGATCATTGTTTGCACTGTGAGTTAATGTGATCAACTTAGAGCCATGAAAGCAAAAACACAAATACCTTGTGGTGGGTTGGCATGTGGTATTGACAGAGTATTGTTGAGGGATTAGCCGGCTAATCCTCACTAGCCTGGGACTACACTGTACTGTGGACAGAGCAAGGGCACATCTCTAAACGTCCGGCAAACTGTTTTATCGGCCACTACAATACATTATGGAACTTATTCTGAAATATTTTTAAACTATTCAGGGAAGTTGAAATCCGTTAAAAGTATTGTTCCAGTGTGCCTTTGTGTTTCTGCTGGGATCTGTGACTCTGTTTGTAGTGTTATCGGAATGCAACACTTCTCACCTGCTCACCTAAGGGCGGTACTGAGATGAGCTGGCTATTAGCTGTCTAAGGGAACAGTCGTCATGAAAACATCATCTAGAAATTAGTCTCTAAAAATTTTGTGTGATAGACAATGTCCGACTATTCCTTACGACGGGAGATTAGACGCATGTGGAAGGTGAATATTGTTTCATATATGATGTTTTAAAAACTTTGTTGATGTAACCATATTTTGTTTTCTTCTCTTTTACTCTTGCGATAGTAATCATGTATAAGAGTAAGGTGACTGTTGTTTTAAATATGACTTTTAAAAAAAAAATGACTAAGTATTTTCTTTTCTTTTCTACACTTGCAATGATAATTATGTACTTTTTCATGCAAAGTCAAATGAAAACACATTTTAAAAAGAGTCAAGAAAGTATCATCTTTGAAAAAGTTTCTATTTGCAAGTGATAAAAAAAACCCAGGAAAAACAAATTTAAGGTGTTTTACCCAAATAAAATTTGTTGGAACTTTTTCTAGTCAATGAACTTTTAAAATATTTCTTGGCACTAACATTGAGAAAAAAAGAAATTTCTAAAGTAATGCATTTTTCAACTGACTAAACTAGATGTCCTTAGTATTTAACCGAAAACAACAACAGAATTATAAATATGTTTCAATTGGATTTAAACATTTTTCCGACTTATTTGCTTTTGAAATAACAAAGTTTCTACGTGTAAACCTGATTGGTTTCCTTTGATCGTTAACCCTGCCATTGTAAACATTCAGAAACGTCAATAATTCCGCGGATACTTTCATTATTCTACTGTTATCACAGCTGACATGTTATGGATGTTTCTAAGTTTAGTTTTGATGTTCTTTGACGAGTCCCGTCATTGGTTTGGGCTGTGACAATCGACACCGTTACATTGACATCAGTTTGACGTAAACCCCAGTCAAGTTATCGGAGATGTTTAGTCTGGAGTGACAAACAACAGCTGTTCCCACTAACACACCGGTCGATTTCACGAACACACTGCTAGATTCTTTTAACTCTTTTTTTACATTAATAATTCATAGATTTTTACACTCCTATACACATAATCCTGTCTGTACGATAGATCAGAATTTTCATCACATTGAATCCAAGTCTTGATTTAATGAATAATAAAATGACATTTTCTTGTTCAATTTATTTAATATAGAGCTTCGTAGTACAAGCTGTGGCTGTGCCATTGAGATCAAAATTGAACTACAAAGGTACATAACCCTGTAATTTTGTTCTCTGAGTTTCCGTTAGATGGAAATATTCTCTCAGTGAGTCATATTTATATATCAGATTACATTTCACTGCTTTAATATAGTGGAAACAAACTATCGTGGTTTTGTTCAAAGAGCGTATTCCGGCGGTTTAAATTTATCGGAATGTCATTAATCATTAATAAGTCAATGGTCCATCAGAAAGGGCAACATGTTCATAGGGAATATTTTTTCCTGTATTCATTTAAGCCTGCAAATATAGGGGAAAATACAGTCTTACCTGTGTTGAGAAACCATCCTTGGAAAATCCAGAAAATGATCTCTTAACACAGGTCGTCTCTTAATACAGGTTAAGATCACAATGAAGTCACTACCATGGGGAACATTAAAAGTGGCCTTTCAACACAGGTGGTCTGTTTATAGAGGTGGTCCCTTGAGCAGGTTTGACTGCACAAACTTTATACAAGGCCAGGCATGGTCTCCAAGGAAACCCAAGAGGGCGTTACTTTAGTTCTTTTTAAGAGGTTTTCAAAATTTTCTTCTCAAGTTGAGTAAATGTAAGAAGTATAATTTATCCATATATAGAATTCATAAAAATATAATCTGAGACGATAGTTTGAGATGTTTATAGATGTTTACTTGGCATATGTTGACTTCATTTCTAGGGATCTCATTACTTCAATAATCGTGTGACCTTTTTCGAAGTGTGGCATTGATCTTATTTGACATTTGTCTGACCAGGTGAAAATGTCGATCTGGTTTTTATGTGAAGTTATCAGCCATCTCGAATAACAATACAATATACTTATACTATATGCACGATCTTGGAGATATTTTTATTAATCTAGATATGGAAAATGTCATGAAGGCACTTAAGGTATCTGGAAATTTGATGCTTATGTGAAGTTGGGTAGTTAGGTATACGTGTATATATAGATATTTGTGCTA